TCCCTCCATTACCACTCTCTTGACAGGGTGGCTCCCGTTGCCATTGCAATTTCCTAGGAGGATTCTCTCCAGGACCAAGGAAAGCTCAGAGCCAATAACTGCAATGATAACTTTCAACACTTGAAATATTTATCCTAACATCCATTCTGGGTTTTTTTGTTTGTTTGTTTGTTTGTTTTCAGAACCAGGGATTGAACACAGACACTTGTGCTTGCCAGGCAAGCACTTATTCTACTGAGCCATCTCCCCGGCCCCCAAAATGGAATAAGGATTTTTTTTTTGCTCCAAATGCCTTCAGGGCAGGTTTGGCTGGCTTGAGTTGTGGGGATCGAACCACAGCAAACTGAGCCTGACTGCTTTGTTGAAGTAGCCACTTAAAGAACTGAACGAAGGGGCAGCCCCACACACAACATCTATTCTTGATTTTGGCCACTTTCCTCATCCTCTAAGTTAATTCCATATTTTTTTCCATTTTTTATTTTCATATTACATACTAAGAGCTCATGCTTAGAATTATAAAAGATTCTATTTTGCTTCCCATACTATGTGTATAAATATTTCATTGAGACCCACATAATCACAAATTTCAAAAATGATGAGAAAAATGTATCACAAAAGCACCAAATTCACATGCATTTCTTCCTGTCTTTTTCAAATTTTCATGATTCTACTCTTTTCTTCTTTTTTCCCAGTGAGTGAGAGAGGGTCTGGCCCTTTCCAAGGATGACAGAAAAGTTTCCCTCATCGTTGCTTCTTGCTTCTCCTTGAGAGAGCATTGCTAATTTCCAGTAATTGTCCCTGATAATTAAGCAGCAAAAGTTTTTCAAATTATTCTCAATTCCCTGTGAAGACACTGTTCTTTCCGCCTCAGTTGACTGAATAATCACAGCTCTGGGGTGAAGAGAGGTTAAACAACTTCAAACGATCTCTTAGGGCTGAACTGGATCCACATCTCTCATCCTCCCTGTTCCCTTTGTCTACCCTCCTGTCAAATGTCTACGTATACTTTACTGTATATTTGTCTAGGCAACACAGGTTCAGAGAAAAGACCTCAGTATGTGGATGATATTATGAAAGTCATTCTTCTATACCAACACAGCCCACTGACACGAGATCCACACCAAGAGGAAGAAGGACATTTTTTCTATACCAAAGTGCAGCTGATGAAGTGGAGTTTCAGGTAAGAAAGCACACATCACCCTGTAATCCCTCCTCCTGTCGTTGATGGAATGTGAAAAGGTATCACTTAGTAGTGGGAGAAATGCAAAGCAGACCTGAAATACGAATGGCTTTTAAGAACTCTGTTGCTACACTTTGAGGTGCTATTTGGTATTGGATCATGCGTCGTTACTGCCGGTGTGTGATCCTGTAGCCACTGTGCATAAGAATGAGAGTTGCTGAAGTACGAACACTTGCCACTGTAGCAGTGACAATGAGATGTCATTAAGGGACAATGATTATTTCTCCATTGACATTTCTCATCCTAGTAGTATCTCTCTTTCTTGGAGGAAAAGAAGCAATCTTCAAAGAAGAGATGATTTGCTGATAGCAGTTACCAGGAAGAAAAAGCTTTGGTGTCCTTACCAGACTTATGATTCAAGTATGTTACATAATGAGAGTTTCTGTCTTACTGAATGTTTTCTAGTCTATTCTTTTGTCTATCTATGAAAAGTCTGCTCCTGCAACCTCCAAACTCATAGGTAGCCTTCATGGCCTGCAGGATACCATTCATGCTGTTTGGTGAAGAGTCGCATTTCTGACACATGTGTTCGGGTGTGATTGGGTGTCTGTATGTTTGCAGGTATTGCTAAGGAGAATATACTTACATACTGTAGTGGCCAAAACGTAACGTTTTGAATGTGTCGATATAAGTTACATTCAGTGTAAAATACTCAAAGAAAACTGAAGGCTAGAAAGACACAACATAATATTTTGCAAAAAGAGTTTGTCTGAATTGATATAAATTGTGTTATTTTCAGGGAAATCCTCAAATATGGGAACTGAAACATCCTCACTGAAATTTTCCCTGCAAGACTGCAAAATCTATATCTATAGTAAACTAAATTGTTACATGTGTGGCTAACTTCTAACACTGACTGATTTAGCACAAGCACAACTTTGATGTGACTCTGAATAATCTAAAAAACATGTTTATTTTATTTTATTTACTTATTGTCATTTTTTT